ACACACACACACACAAACACACACACACACACACACACATATATTTATTTACCTTTTTCTTTATATATTTTTATATTATGTACTGTATATTTTTCAGGTCATTTAGACTTTCTGTCCCAGCCACAAAGGTTTAAAAAAAAAAAAAAAAAAAAAAAAAAAAAAAGAAGAATATTCATCAAATTTTTCATAGAATTTATAATTTAACACAGAATAGTCAAAAATTATGAGAAAAATATCAGCTTTTAACGTGGGGTTTCCAAGATGCTAACAGTACATTACTTGTAGTGTTCTTTCTTACACTTAAAGCACTAAAACACTCCACATAGTGCATGATATCTCTGCTCACCGTTGCTCTCCTTGAGTGCCAGTGCCTGGATTTGGGCTTTTAATCTGGCTGTTAAATGTTAAAACTGCACTTAGGTTATAAAAATGAATATAGGCTTGATCTGTGAACAAAGCCTTACTTCAGAAAATGAAAAGAGCTGTTTGAACTTTGCAATGTTGAGACTTGTCCTAGTGGCAGCCCCGTATCACTCTGGACAGTATGAATTCTAAGAATGGAGTTGGATTACATCTCCATCACTGACACTCTATATGAATTGTTTCTGTGGAATTCTTTGTGTTCTGACAACTGTTTGAGCTCTTGGGCTGGGTTTGTTTCTGCAAGACTGAAGGTGTGTGGCTCTAATGAAACCTGTCTGGGATCCTAAAATACTACATGCACAGGCAGCCGTTGATATCTTAACTGTAAGTATAAGTTTTGAGTATACATAGGGCAACCAATTTATTAATCACAAATAATCACCTATATGAATATTTGCCGAATAAAGCATGCAAATTAAGATAATCTGAAGACTTATAGCAGACGAAGCATTTAATAGATACTACAAAAAGTTGTACTTCAGGCCTGAATTGCTCAGATGCCATTTACTTACAGGTATGGGGTCATCATGATAGAATCATATTATTTTAAAAAATAAGCTATTTTTATAATCTAAAAATACAGAATTTAATATATCTATACAAATAATAAGTAATACAATTTAATTTAATTTCAAATGTATATAATATATATGACTTTTATTAAATTAAATGTAAAATATGTAATAAATTAACACATTAAATTCAGAAATATACAGTACATTTATGTATGTATGTGTGTATACATACACACACACACACATATATATAATTGTTTTTCACTGTCTCTTTGATCAAATTAAGTCAAATGTTATTACAAAATAAAAGTTTTCTATTTTAATATATTGTAAAATGTAATTAATTCCTGTGATGCAAAGCTGAATTTTCAGCATCATTACTCCAGTCTTCAGTGTCACATGATCCTTCAGAAATCATTCTAATCATAAGTAAATCATGCTGATTTACTGCTCAAGAAACATTTACTATTATTATCAATGTTGAAAATGGTTGTGCTGCATAATACATTTGAAATGAAATTATAAATTAATTAATATTTTATTTTTATATAATTAATGAACACTTTAAATTCACAACCTTAGTTATATACAAATACAAAATAGTGGTGAATCCACCAACATATACATAAAGGATCAGGGAGGTCTGAAATGTGAAAATGTATCTTCTCTATTCTGTTCTACCTTTCTTTATCCGTTTCCTTAAACATTCCAAAGTCCTTTTCCCACAGCACCCCTCCTGAACTATCTGTGTCCAAGTCACTATCATCTCCTTCAAACAAAAGCTTGGGAATGCTTTCAGTGGCAGGAACAATTCTCCTTAAGTTTCCCCTAGACAGAGACCTGACAATTGCTCTTCCTTTCTTCTCCTCTCACACAGCAAAGGACTAACAGACCTCAAAAAGGAAAACAAACCCACACCAGGCATCTGCAATCAGTTACAGATCACTTGAGAATGTTTTACACCTAGGAAAATAAACAGAGGGAAACCCAGGAGCCAGTGGCCTGCTCTAATTTTGTTTGGGTTTGTGTCCAGCCTGGTTACTTTACGTTTTAACGTCTCTGTTTGTGCAAAGAGAACACCAAACAAGAGTAAAGAACGGGGCCCTCTAATGTCTTATCAGTGTAAAAGAAGAAAGGAGCTCTAGTTTAAAATGACATTTGATAGTAAAATGTATTTTGAAGGCAGGTACTGGGATGTTAGAAAACAAGCTTTGTTTGAACTCTAAAAAGGAAATGTTTGTGTGCTGTTTTTCAGGTGTCATCGCTTACACAGAGTATCTGTTTCTGCTTTGCATTTTGACAAGTGAGTTTGTCTTTAGGTTTAATTCTTCATGCTCATTTAGCACCAACAATGATTACAAAAAGTACAGATGCATGAGAATGTGTTGATGTCCCTTATATGTCTTTCTTTTGTCTTCTAGAGCCGCATGCAGGTTTTAAAATAGCTTTCAACATGTTTGATGCAGATGGCAATGAAATGGTGGATAAGAGGGAATTCATGGTGGTACGGTTGGTTTTGTTGCTGTTTATTATTAATCAATTAATCAAGAGTGTAAGCATGCTTAAAGAAAAATCTCTACTTTCTCCGTTTAGCTGGAGGAGATATTCCGTAAGAAAAATGAAAAGAAAAAAGAGCGGGCAGGAGATCCTGACAGTCCCTCTCAACTGGTAAAAAATAGATTTCGGTCTTTCTACCAAAAGAATTTTACGGTCCTCAGTCGCATGAGCATATTCTTTTGCCATAACCTGAAACGATGTATATTGTAACTGAAAGTAATGTAAGGAAATAGTTCCAAAAATAAAAATTGTGTCATGATTTCTCATGCCCATGTCATTCCATAACCTTAGTTCTTTCTTATCTGAGTAACACCAAAGGAGATGTTTTGAAGAATGTTCACACTGCTCTCTTCCATTGACTAAAATGAATGGTACACCATAAAAACACTCCATAAGTCTCATGGATTAAATTATAAGATTTCTAAATCCATTTGATGCTTAGCATGAGGCAAGACATTGGCTTGCTTAGTTGGGGTTTAAAAGACAGTTACTATTCAGTAATATCATCGATTTGATGGCACTGCCAATCAGATAAGAACAAATCCTGAGCTAAATAAAGACAATATTATGTTCTATAGAGCTGCTTTGTAGTTAAATCAAACTTTGCAACATCGATACTGTTATTGAACTGAATTGAATCAACATTGAACTGACTCAAGTTGAATAATGACACTACTGTCTAACAGTAGAGCTACTCATTACTGAATAGAACTTGTTTCATAACAGAATTTGGATATATTTGATGAAGTTTGCATCAATGATTCTGTTACTTCTCTGTTTAATACTGTAAAGCTGCTTTAAAACAATCTGTATTGTATAAAGCGCTATAAAAATAAAGGTGACTTGACTTGGTCACCATTCATTTTCATGGCATGGAAAAGATTGCTATAAATTGCTTAATTATATTTATTATTATATATATTGACTATATTTAATACTTTATAATAAATAATACAAATAAAAATAAAGTCATAAGGGTTACAAAGACATGAGTGTAAGTGAACAATCATTTTTGGATGAAATATTTCTTAATTCATGAATAGAAAACCATGAATAATGATCTTATTGTTGCATGTTCTCAATCGCATTTAAATATGAGAGATGATGTAGTGCATGATTCATGCATGATGTTCATTTGAACAAATGTACATGGTGAAAAAATGAATCTCTTTCTGCAGAATACAAAACTACAATGAGTCTCTAATCTCTCAGGCTGGGGAAATGCTGATTATTATAGATTGTGTTTTGAAAAACACATTCAGAGTTCATTGTCTTTCACCATTCCTTAGTAAGATATGACAGATGTTGAATGGTGATTTGATTTCTTTCCTGTTCTGCACGCCATCATAATCTTCGGTGTGTGAGAGTGTGGAACTGTATGGACATCAAGGATCTGTTACCAGCAATGTATGTATCTGTGTACTAAAGAATCCTTATGAATATGACTTTGACGTGTGTTTTTAGCATGTCGGTTAATGTGGTTGGTGCTCCATTGAACTTGTACAGTCATGATCAACAGCAACCATGCATGCCTGTCGTAACCACTAATGTTTATGCAACTTCACCATCATTAGTGCTCAATAAACCAGAAGGGTTACATCCACTTTCAGTGGCTTCTTTCAGACAGTCAGTGAGTAATATTATTTTACATACTGAAATGTTTGGATAGGGTGTAACAGAGTGACCCTCACGCATGGCTCACCTCCAGAGAAGAGGGACAATGCAGCTCTAATGGGGCTCAGTCTGAAATGCAGCTCTATTGTCTAGGAGAGCAGAAAAATCATCCAGAGACTGAAACAGATGATTTATGTTGCTTGTCTACTGTCAGGAGCGTTCTGCAAAGGAATGGTCTCACAGAATCACGTTAAAAGGCCCTCAGCTGAAGAATGGCAACTCTGCCTGGACCCCCATGTTTTATTTTTACAGTTGCTTGAAGAGTGGTATTTAGGTTCAGGTTACTTCTTGCGACGGCTTGACCATGAAGAGTTTTGTGTCACTTAAGAGTTGCAGCTGAGGAATGAGCCAATCTCAGCACCAAACAAGAGAAATGAGAAGCTCTTTCAGCTCTGTTCAGTCAGTGTTTTTCTGTGTAAACCACAATATACTTGTGCTGAATTAAAAAATATAATGATACTGAACACAATCCACTGTTTATCTCGGCAAGGCCATAACTGGATTCATTCAGAGTTCTTGTTTACTGACTGAAGCACTAAGGTCACATTCACACAGCAGCAGAATATTATTGTCTGCCCTGTATTTTAGTGTTTAATACGGTTACATTTAAACCTTGTTTTGTTGTTTATGAGAGTCACAAGTTAACCAAACTCATACCCATACCTTTTCAGGACTCACAACTGCATTTTCTGTGAACTGTAGAGGACAACTAGTTCTACTTTACACTGCACACATCCTGTGTTGTCATGTGTGGTTTTGCTGACTTGTAGGGACAGAAATATGAGCTGTGTTTTATATTGCTTGGTTTGAAAGCAAAGTTTACATTAGTGAATACTTAAAAAAACAAAACAATAACAGATCTAAGATAAAACAGCATTGATCACATAGGGAGAAATTCATCAGAAGGATGTGGTAAACAAAGTTGACTTTTCTTTGACGTTGTGTTGCATTAACTCAGGTTTTTTTTTTTGCATGTGGAATAGTCTTTCACTGTATTGTCTGAATCTTCTTCTGGTAAGCCTTTAATAATTTCACCTCTGATATGCAGGCACTTAAAAAAGAGCAGCCTCAGTCTAAACCCAGAAGTTTCTGGGATGTTCTAAGGCATGGTGCGAGAATAGTTCTCTTTTCAGATCTGATGGAGGTACAAGTATCCTCGAGCTCACATGTTTTCTCAATTGAATCCCATAATTCCCTTGGCCATTCCCTGTTCCCATCCCATGTGAGGTTCTGCCCATTGTTTCATGTTTTATTTCTTTTTGTAATATCGCCATTTTCATTCATTAATGTCACTACATTTCATGTTGTTACAGTTAGATATTAATAGATAGTTCAAGACCTTAAAATGTATATGAAGGTAACTGAACCATACAACAAAAGATCATGTTTGGTTTTATTTATGCATCTCAATAAATATTATTATTACTAGAAATAAAATGATTGTTATTATATTATATTGATTCTATGATATGATATTGATGATATCTAGAATATTATGATAATGCAGGTTTCCAAAATCCTTTTTAGTTGACATTTTAAGGCATCTTTGTGAAAAAGACTATGAGATACAGTATGCCTCTTGTTTTTGAAATGATACATGCTGCATAGGAGCATTGAGGTATATCTTGTATGTAGATTTCTGCACGAGCAACCTGTTGTTTGCGTGGCATGAGATGTCGGCTGCTCCATGATGTGTCTTTGCTCTATCAAACATATTAGTTACATGTACATATTAACTTTCCAAGACTTTATAGATAGGAATATTTTATCTAGAATTAATTCTGTCATCAATTACTTGCCCTCATGTTGTTCCAAATCTGTGATTTCCTTTATGCAGTTCTAGTTTACAGTGAATGTAGAGACCGGAGCTTTCAAGATGATGCAAAAAAGTCCTATAAAAATGTGCTAAGGAGAGCCAGAGTAACATGAGTGTGAAACACCGATGACAGAATCTTCATTGTACCTTTAATCGACATTCACAGCTAGCTGAAGTCCACCAAATCAAAGAACAGTTGTTCATTTGTGATTTTAAGATGTATGATAAAGATTTAGCTTTTTTCAAATCTGGTCTCAATTGATCAATTGCTTTTAATTAATCATTTATTTTCCAGTTTATGTTCATTTTACATTTATTTGTGTTTGTGTTTGTATCTGCGTTGTTTATATTGTGATATTATTTTTATGGCTGCACAATAATATCCTCATCAAGCTATTTTTGTGTACACTTATTCTGACAAATTTTGCTCCCTTATTCAGTTTTTACAGCTGAATAATGTGTTTTCATAATTTGCTTTCACAGCATGAAACAGAAAATGTCACCGATACAACTCTGCTGGTGCATTTCTTTGGAAAAAAGGGCAAAAGTGAACTTAACTTTGATGACTTCTACAGGTAAGTGACAGTTTTGATGACTAGGCTGATGGATTTCCTATCTTAAGTCTTAAATTAATATTGAACTCTATCATGATGTTTCATGAAGTTTCTGTAATGCAGCCTCAGGTTTCTTCACTGTTTTTATACGTTATTAATGCATGACCCTTAAAAAGGAGTTTGAAATCCCTGAGGCCATCAGTAAGGATGCTGTATTGGAGCATGTTGGAACGGTCCAGTCACTTAGTCTAGTGTCCTACTGAGAGAGAGATGGCATCTCCTCTTAACACTGTGTCTGTGTCATGCTCTGTCGGCAGATTCATGGACAACCTGCAGACAGAAGTCCTTGAGATTGAGTTCCTCAGTTATTCCAAGGGAATGACCACCATCAGTGAGGAAGACTTTGCTCGTATCCTGCTGCGCTACACCACAGTGGAGAACATTACAGGCTACCTTGAGAATGTGCGTCAAAGCATACCCGATGAGAAGGTAATACTTTTGCACTGGACACACACACACACACACACACACACACACACCACTATCATCACTCAGGAAAATCAGGAGGCTTTCCAAACAAGCGCCACAGACACCACATTCAAATTTTATGTCAGTTTGCATTTGCCGATAAAATGGTAAGATACTGTAATTAAACGCATTTTTATTTTTGTACAACAACTTATATGTTCTAAGAAAATATGTTCTAAGAATGGTTTACAAACATTCCCATTACGTTATGGAAGCGTTATTTCTGAATGTTCTTGGAATATTCAAAACATTCCGTTTTTTTTTTTAAATGATAGTTTTGCAAACATTATGGGTAACATTAACATTAACAATGTTCTCTGAACCATCTGAAACAATTAGTAATATTAAAAAAGCATTAGATGAACATCCAACTAAATCATTTAAGAAAAGCATTACATCAATATTACATGTATAAATAGTGTTTACACAGACCAGATAACTTAGGAGAACCTTGCTAGAACATTAGCCAAAGTTCTAAGAACATTCATTGTTAGCTAGGAAGTACAGAATTAAAATGAAAGGAGCTAGATTGGTATGAACTCAATACTTTATCAGTCACATCAGTTTGTCAATATTATAATATTTTTACTCCTTTACCTTTATCTAAGTTCATGTATTTTTCATGAATAAGTCTGATAAGATCAGTGCATAGTAAAACAAATATCACCACATAGTAGAGAGAGGTAGATATTTATAATCTGAGTGATGTTTTGATGTCTTTTTTTTCTTTAGGCTGTTTCCCTTTTTGCACATTGACCCTCAAATTATGAGGTTAGATTCTTTTCAGTTGCTCAAAGAGGCTGTTGGTGGATGGCCATGGCTATATAAGTGGTTTTTATTCTTAAGTTGAGATATTGAAATACAGCTTAACTTGTAAAACCACCAAAGCGTCACATATTACTCATTAGATCATTTGTAAAACAGTTGTTGTTGGTTGCAAGAGAGGCTTCAGAAAAAGACGTGGGTCTAGTGCCTGGGAATGGATGAATGGAAATGCAAAGGACCGCTGTTTGGGTAATCTGCTAGCGCTGAGATATTTTGGACACATCCCCTTTTGTTTTTATGTATGCAAGTATCAGGTTAATCTTCTTTAGAAGAGTCGACAAGCTACCTGACCTCTCCTTAAACAAAACAATCTAAAGGTGTCGACAGCTCAAATTGTATAGATTGGGTGCCGGAGCAGGAGAGATGTGTGCTGCTGGGATTGTTTGACTTTGCTGTTTTCTGTCTTGGGATCTGTTATCGCTCTTCAAGGTCCCACAGACAATTAAGGTGTCCTCCTGGTCGGAATAGTAAGGCGTGATGCAGTTTTGTCTTGTTTAGGGGTGCTGCATTTATTACCCAGAGAATTAATCTGAGACTATAGATATATATATATTTCAAAATTCATAATTTTATGTACTAGATCTCTGCATGAGTGCTGTCATATTATAAAGACGATGACATAATTATCTTTCCATTGCCCAAAGGTTCCTCTTAAAAGGAACATTGACAATTTAATCTGTAAGACACTGATTTAACACTGATCTTCTTTTCTAGGGCATCACGTTTGAAGAGTTTAGGTCTTTTTTTCAGTTCCTCAACAACTTAGAGGATTTTGCAATTGCCATGCAAATGTACAACTATGCAAATCGCCCAATTGGACAAGGTAAACATATAATCCATTCATTTTTATTTATTTTTTTAATTCATTTATTTTTATTTTTATCCAAAGCGACTTACAAATGAGGACAATAAAAGCAGTCAAAACTAACAAAAGAGCAACAATATATAAGTGCAAATGACAAGTCTCGGTTAGCCTAACACAGTACACGTAGCAAGGTGTACTGTAGCAAGGTGTACTGCATTCATATAATCCATTTACTCCTGAAACGCTTGTGGGTAATGATGTTTGGCTCTCACAGGTGAATTTGCACGTGCGGTCTATGTGGCCACTGGACTGAAGCTGTCACGACATCTCGTGAACACTGTTTTCAAGATCTTTGATGTGGACCATGATAACCAGCTGAGCTACAAGGAGTTCATTGGGATAATGAAGGACCGGCTGCATCGTGGCTCCTGGGTAAATATGGGGGGAAGGTTGATGGTTTTCTCCACTTGTTTAAATGCCATTTTTCCAGCTTTCACGGCAATAACTGCAGAGTAATGAACCACTGCTGAGCCTTAAAACAGGTTTCTGAGATCCAAGTGGAGAAAATCAGGTGGTCCAGAAATCTGGTTTGAGGTTTTGAATGGACACATGGCATTAGCGTTTGTATTTGGGAGAGTGCTTGCCAGATTTGTTTGTGTTTTTAATATGCAAATCAGCTGTCAGTCAGTCATCATAACACATTTCGGCTTGTGACAGGAAAGTTTTTTTTTAAACATATTTAAAAATAATTTAAATTCAAGTTAGTCATTATTATTATACTGTTGTTAATAGTTTTAATATTAATATTATTACACTACTGTTCAAATGTTTGGAGTCAATAAGTTTTTTTTAAAGATATTGATATGTTTATTTAGCAAGGACGCAATAAATTAATCAAAAGTGACAGTAAAGACTTTAACATTGTTACAAAAAAATCTATTTGACATAAATGCTCTTTGGTCAGCATAAGAGACTTCTTTCAAAAACATTTTTTTTAAATCTTACAGAACCCAAACGTTTGTATACAAACCCTTTATTGTTGCCTTTCATATTGCTTTTTCAACCGAGTAAATGCTTCTTGTGGGTGCAATTTTGCTGACATCTAGTGGCCATTTATTGTTAATTTAGTATGCTAGTAGTCTCATCAACTAGCACTGTTCATTTAATTTTCCCTATTTTCAAGATAATGTTTCTATTGTTGATGTAAAACATATTATCCTTTATATTATCATCATTTACCCAGGGATATAAAGGTGAAGAGAGATTCACATCCTTTAAAGCCTGTATGAAGAAGGAGCTCACTGCTAAATAGGTAAGTTTATGGTTGAATACAAAAAAATGAAGTGGATATTATGCAGTGTTTTTAGTTTGGCTTCATGATATTGCCCTGGAGAATTCAGAATTAATGATACTGAAGTACAGCGCTAGCACTGCTCAGCATTCAGCCAAAGCTCTTTCTCTAGCATCAGATTACTCTGTAAAATTAATGTCTGCTATCCAGAGATACAAGATACCAGCCTAACACCGTGTATTAGGACTTAACACAGTAATAGAATACAGTGCCCAACCCACAAGAAAAGGCTCACACCATAAAACACCTGAAAACAGAACAGTTAGACTCACTGTGAGAATATTTGCGGTTTGAATGAAATAAACAAGTGTTGCTATTTTTATAAAGCACATTTGTATTCAAAGTATCACCTGCTGGATTCAGTTATGATGTAGATAAATAATCGTTTGATATGCTATTCGTCTCTATGGCTTTTGTGCAGGTGAAAGTCCCGCTGAGTGTTTCTCTTCACCCTCACGTCACATTGAAGAAATCTCACGTTGGATTAAAGTTCTCAGTGACTCAATGCAATTATCTACCTGACCTGTCTCAAACTCTGTAAGATACAATTACGGCCATAATTAGATTAACACATGCTACCTCCTTAGACTGTAGTTGCAACTTTGTCACTTGGCAGACACTTTCTGAACACTTTAAAAGCCATTAACTAAAAGGGATAACACTTTTATGAAATAGCCATGCTACTTTTATTAATCAAAGAGTTATTTATTAAATGTCTTTTAAATTTAAATGGGTCCAGTGCCCACATTTTGGGATAAATTATGTTGATTAATGAATTACAAAGTAGTGTATTTATGATGACATTACTTCATAAATTTAAAGGGAACTGTGTTGAAGTGAAAATGCGAATGTGAACAGTGCTGAATTTTGATGGAGAGTACAGTTATTTATTCTATTTATTGATCTATTTTGTGTAAAGAAAAGGTTCTCTTGGGTTTTAATGCCTCTGTAGTGATGTATTGGCAATGCATTGTTATATTTGCTTCTCTAGGAGTTATAAGCCAGATAATTTTTCCTTACAATGAGCACATTGCTAACATAGTTTCTCTGAGCTTGTCCACTGCCCACCACCCAGATCAGCTTACACAGGGTCTGACAGTGCTGAGTGCACACAGCAATAATGAGTCCTCAGTAGTCTCACAATGTGCTACACATACAGAGCCCTCTCTCCACCTCTTTCATGAGTTTCTTACACTGCCGCTCCTTTAAGAAACATCTTGTGAAGCCAAAACAACAAACGAGAAGAAACTGAATCCCACTGAACTCTCATCAGGCCTGATTTCATGTAGGTTTAGAGATTCGACATCAATCTCTGTTAATCATGTTACAACAGTCTCAACTGACATATCTTCAGAATATTGACAGTGCTTTAGACTTTAGTGTTGCAGATTATTCTTTGAGGTGATTAAGCATATTACAGTTTTTCTGCATATTACAGTGTGCAGTTTTTGTTATCATTGTGATAAATATATAAGGGAGACCAGGGCTAGTTGTCACACTTTACTCCAGCGAATATTTCTCAGGGTATGTTTATTTTTTAAAGTCAACATCTTTGCAGATATTTTAAAGCCTTGGCTGCAAAAAGCCTTTGGAACATTACCACCATTATTGCCCAGGAAACGTTTTTTTCTTTCTAATTTATTCGAATTAAAGTTTTGAACCAACATAAAACAAGCATTTATGTATCTGGACCTTTTACTCAAAACTTTATATTATTAACTTTTGTGACCACTGCTGCCTTGAGACAATTAGCTCCGGTATCACATTTCTACAGAATATAGGGCATGTTTGAGTCATATGTTTTTTTTTCTGTCCAGTGCTTCATAACTATACTGGAACAATTATTTTGAGACTATGTCCAAAATATTCAATACCAAGGTTGATGTCTGCCCTACTACTGCAGTCTTTGGGGTTCCCAAAGCTTGGACTTGGTTTACATCTAAACAGTTAGATGTACTTTCCTTCAGTTCTTTATTGGCTAGACGATGAATTCTATTTCTTTGGAAGTCCACCAAACCACCAGGTATCTCACAGTGGCTTGTGGATGCTATGTACTTTTTGAAGTTGGAAAAGATAAGATGCTTTCGGAATGCCAGTTATGGTTCTTTTTATGATAAATGGCAACCTTTTATAACATTTTCACTCCCTTCAAATTTTGCCTGTTGACTGAATTTGTTTGAATCTTTGAATCATCACCTTTCCTCCTCCAGACTTTTTTTCCTTCTTCTGTTGTCTTTTCTTTTAAAAGTTTAAAAAGAAATTGTGGATTGTCTTTATTATGTCTGTTGTTTCAATAATTATGTCTTTTACTTTCCACCCAATAAAAAAAAATATATGAAAAAAAGGATATAGGTCATGTCTTAGATCTGTACATCCTAAAATAGCTTATTTCATTAGCTAATTCATATAAATCTTTTAAAGGGGTCATATGATGCTGCTAAAAAGAACATTATTTTGTGTATTTGGTGTAATGAAATGTGTTTATGCGGTTTAAGGTTCAAAAAACACATTATTTTCCACATACTGTACATTATTGTTTCTCCTCTATGCCCCGCCTTTCTGAAACACGTCGATTTTTACAAAGCTCATCGGTCTGAAAAAGCGAGGTGTGCTGTGATTGGCCAGCTATCCAGTGCGTTGTGATTGGCCGAATTCCTCAAGCGTGTGACGGAAATGTTACGTCCCTACCATATTGTGATGCCTGCGGCAACCACATGTGACGACCCCAGGCTGGACTCCGCTTCGTCCACGGTTAAAGCCGATCCGGCGATGGACAGCGCCAAGTTGAAGTATTTCCTCTGCGACCAGCACGGATCAGCTCTAGGCATGACGAAGCAGATATCGTCCTCTTTTGGAAGACCAAACAAAGTAGTTTCGCTTTCACAACGAAGCACACAGCGTCTTCACGACATGGCGGCGGCGGCAGCAACAATACTACAGCAAGAATCAAAGTTACGCCTTCTTTCTTTGTGTGAACATTTGGGCGGCATTATGCAAATCTTCCCACATCGTGACGTAGACATGTGGGGGCGTGTTAGAACGAGCCGTTTTAGGTAGGTGTGGCTGACTCTTAACTTTTATAAAGAATATCTCTTTGGATTTGAGACTTTAGTCTTTGCAACTTTACAGATCTTCTTTATGCACCAAGAGCTTGTAACACTCCAAAGAGAAAGGAAAAATTGAAATCGCATCATATGACCCCTTTAAGATATTAAGACCATCTTTTTACTTAAAGTAATTATTACAGTGTGCATCTGTCATTATGGTTCACTGAAGTATTCATTTACGCATTAGTATTCAGTTTGCTTAAAACTAAAAGGTTTGAATAAATTAAAAACCACCATCAAAAGAATATTTTGTGTCATTCCTTATGGTCTGTGCTTGCTTGTGTCAGAAGACATTTTTTTTTTTAAGTTTACAATGAACGTTTCATGCTAGACCAGTGTTAAAGTCCGAGAAAAGCAATATTAAATGTTCTGAGTTTGTCACACCACAGAGAAATGTGTTATTAACCACCCAGCCAAATTTGAATTATAAAAAAGCCTCCAAGTAAATAAAAATTTTGAAAAAAAAAAAAAAGTTGTATTCTCTGCTGTCTAATATTTTTATTTAGTCAAACACGATGTATAGCCATTAAAAGATTCCGGGGTTCCTCAGACAGTTATACCAGTCTAAGCTGATTTTAGCTGGTTTCACAGCTTGGCCAAGCAGGCTTTCAGCTGGTTTGGATGGTTGGCATGCTCATCTTCTGGACTAACCAATGAGAAGTGCACAAACCTCTCTAAATCCAGACTGGAAGACCGTATAAAACCAGTAAACCAGCTTTGGCTTGTTTACGCTAGCTGTTTTTATCAGCAACGAATGAACTACTTAATATGTATCACAAATATTTTATCGCTATATTATTTAATTAATGTAACAATTTAAAGTGTTATTGAACGTTGCACTGGTGTGACATCTTTAATCAGATTTTAATCAGATTTAACATTTAAATATATTAGACATAGAGCATATTTGTTAAATTATAGCAGACCAACCTATGGTGATGATACAAAACGGTAGAATCAGGCTTTAGTGTAGTAACGCAGCCATCGCATCGCGTGAGCGTCATGCAAGTTTGTAGAAAGGGGCGGTACCGATGTGCTACACGCAAGAGCGACCGGAGAACCGGAGGATGGAGGAGCGGGACGAACCGCAGCTGCACGCGGAAGAAGATATGATGTTTTAGGAGCAGTGCCGGCTCGGTGAGGCTGAACTTGTCGTTTTGGCCACTTTTGGTCCTCAAATAGAAAGATGGCGCCGTCGGGCTCGCGTAGCGTTGACTGCTGGAGAGTTTTATACTGGATCCCTGTGCTGTTCATCAGTCTGATCGTGGCATGGTCCTACTACGCTTATGTAGCGCAGCTCTGCATAGGTAAGACTGGAAGCAGCTCTGAATGAAGTTGAGAGATAATTAATAAATAACACCTGGCCTCGAGCATGTGTTACGCATATGTCTGCTTCTCTTACTAGAGCAATATCTCTGCTATTGATGGGGTCTGTTTGATTATAAACACATTGATTAAGAGTGGGTCATGATTATGAGATTAATTTATTTAACTTCTCTCTTTATATGTGCGTGTGTTTATTAATCTGTCCCCTAATATTATAATATTATGCATGTCAATGTATATTAATTACAAATCTGAAAAACATATATGGGTGACTAATTAGGATGTGTGAGGTAAAGGATAAATCTTAAAAAAAAAAAAATAGATACGCTAAGTTCCTAAAAATGTAATATTTGTATTGTATTAGTTTCATACATTTTGTAAAAAATATACTATTTTCTACAAAAACTTGTTTTAATGACTCATAAATGTCAAGTGATGTAACCATCAAAACACATCTATCTATCTTTTACAAATGTCATTAATTTATTTTAAGTCACGAATAAGATGTTTTCTTAGCTTTGAATAAAAGTACATTTTCATAAAAGGTTAAAGTATGTTTATATATATATATATATATATATATATATACATAGTGAGTTTTTGTTGCAATCTCAGGACAGTTAACACCACTTAGACATTTTTTATTTTAAGTCTCACAAATATTAATAATACTACTAATGATTCAGTAACAGCGATGTGTTCATAGAAAAGATGTATTCAAAATTTTCATGAGTTTCATTTGTAATGTATTACAAATTAACATAATAGATCCATACAAAAAAGCATCATGTCATTGACTCATATGCAATACTTTATATAGCAATTTGGCATCACTGTATAACTACTCCGTCATTTAGATCATCGTACAAAACTTCTTCTCTCCCAGTCCTTTGTTGCCGTAAATGAGCTCTCACCACTGTAAAAATATCACCAAACTTTGTGATGTACTGTGTCATTTGTTTAGACTGTAGCTTATTTATGTGTGCGCAACAAGAAAAGGTTTGTGTTCACATTAACATCAGAACATCATTCACTCCTTTGATAACATCTCCTATCATGGTCCCATAAAAACAGCATGAAGAGGCTTTATTGTTCTCTTGAATGGTAGATGATCATGAGGATGCCCTGTTTTTCACTGAAGACTAATGGTGTGTGTGTTTGAACTCCTTTAATAGAATCAAATGACGTTCAAATATTTGTGCATAAAACAGCAGCTTTGTGATGATGTTCCTCAGAGACTTCACTGACTGAAGTGTCAGTGGCCAGGCCTTACTTCTGATTGCTGTTCCCACTGGCAGTTCATACCAGTTTATGCTGAACCGCAAACAGTGGGTCTCCGTAGGCTTGATTTGTACTCAAACTGAGCAGTTGACTCCAGGATGACAGAATGAAAACCATAAAGGCTTTAATGTCTGAACTTGAGCTTGAATTGAAGGCTATTACGTTTGCATGGGTTCAGTAGGATTATCTAGTTGGTTCATTGCAACAACCATGTGAATAGCCAAAACCATAACAGACCGTGTCTTTTTAAAAGATTGGTTCACTTGTTAATGCTGTGTCTTTGCAAGCCATGATAATGAGGGGTCAATGAGTCTTTACTTTACCGAACCCGAGGTGACAAATGTTGTTAAGAACGTACTACTGATCCATATGTCTCAAAGCTAATCTCATTGCCAAGCTGTCAAACTCAACCTCACCAATCTCTACTTGACCTATTTCTGCTGTCAAATCATTTGTGCTGCACACTGAGTTTAGCAACAAACACATTTGACAGCAACACTGACACCTTCAGGGAAAGAAACGGTTTAATTGCTGAAATTGCTAATAATGAATCTCGTCATGTGTTGACAGTTTTTATTACTCTAATGGAGAGGTTTATATACCAGTAGACTTTAGTCAAAGTAGCGTCATATTTAATTTTTGACAGGATTGAAAATGAGGCTGTGAGGGGATAGAAGTACACTGTAAAAAATGACCGTGAATTTAACGGTAAAAGACTGTAAAAATGCTACAGTAAAAAGCTGTTAAATGGTTAACGGTAAATTCCCCTACTATATACGGTGAAAAACTGTATTGGACATTACATGTATTGGACATTAATTTTACGGTAGTATACCGTTTTTGGAAGTGAAAAAGACATTCCCAGAATTCCCTGCGTTACATTTCAAATTTGATGTTTTTTTTGTTGAAAGACTAAATACTTTTTTTCCCCACTGTATGTTGTTCAGCTGATGAAACGTCTTTTCAAAAAAACTTTCAGTTAACAAACTCTCCATAAAACATGGTGAAATTACGTGATCTTTATACAGTGTATGCCATTGTGAAAACTGTAAGTCTATCCCTCACAGCCTCATTTTCATCTGTGTTAAATTAAATATTGCATCTAACCTGACTAAGGTCTACGATGGGGTATTACGATAACGGCCCTTTTTACAGTATATAATGTGTACTTACACTTGCAGTAATTCTTTACGTGCTTTTAGTGTACTATTACAAAATCATAAAAATCTTTGTATTGCCACAAATGCATCACAATTTTTAAGTACCCCCTGAACCTGCTTGAGTGCTCCCTAGGGTACACATACTCAATTAAAATATCTGTTTGGAGATGCACTGCTTTCTGGGATTTCATTTCTGCTCTGTGCTTCAGAGCAACTACAGTTTTTTTTTTTTTGACTTTAGTGCCAGGCACTATCATCTTTTAAAGAGCATATTTTGGATAGAGAGTACTGCAGCCCAACATCATTAAATGAGAGGATAATCTAATGAGGCTTTTAGGACACTGCAACTTCAGTAAACT